GGACTGAAGATAATTCGGCTGACAGGCAGTGTCCCAGATTTGGATGATTTAATGAACGCAGTAGGCTATTTTCGTTTGTCGTGGTGTACGGGGCAGTAGGAAACTTTCGAACGAACTGTTGTTTCTGTACTGTTATTTTGAACTGTTGAACGGAAATATGGTTGGTGAATGGTGAGTTTTGAACTTTTGAACAGTAATGTTATTTTTGATATATGTTAACCTGAACTTGTAGAGTTATGCGCTTTGAGTGTTTTTTTTTTTTTTTTTTTTTTTTTTTTTTTTTTTTTTAAGAAAAGCGTTTGTTTCAATTAAAGTTGTTTGGGAGCTCGCGGGGCGGGTGTTTTTTCATGATGCAATCCATTGGCTTTATTCAGATGTGGATGCATCCGATATGGGGAAATTTGGGAGTTTTTGTGGCCCACCTTTTACAGGCAAGTTTTTGGCCGGGGGGGGGGGGGCAATTCCTTTGTTTTGTTTTTTGTTGGTTTTTTATGAGAAAAGAGTCAAATTTTATTGTAAGTGTTGTACCAGGGAGTATGTTACAATTCAACTGCCATGTTCTCTGAACTTAAAATTTTAGTACACATACATGTAACTATGTAAATTGACTCAATAAAAATGTTTTAAATACAAAAAAAAAAATGCATCAATATCTATGCATCACAAGTCACTATAAATAGAACATACCAGTCGGAAATGAACAAGTTCATATTTCACATACATTTTCAATTTGGTATGGGTATGTTATTCCTAGGGCCGGTCTGTATATTACAATTATTTGCCGAGATTCTAAATTTTACTTGCAAGTAGTCCTCCAATGCAGGTCCTTTTGTGAACGAGGCATACGTTTCAAGTTGCCCGAACCGTATCCCCGACTAAGTTTGTATATCAATGGCAATACCACTTTTGATAAATATTAAAATGAACAGTTTTATTTTCAGATTTAGTGTCAACGTCTTGTTGAACCCAAATGTCCCTAAACCATGACTTTGTAGCAATTGTTTGACATTTCTGGCCCGAACTGTACGTTTGCATGGCTACCATATTGCGTTGAAATACGTAGAATTTGTATGCTAATCTTTCAGTTTTCATATCCAAAATTTTCACCCATTATTTATTTACCCAAAATATATATCAAATTACAGCGAAACAATTGTAGCATTACTACAGAGATTTAGGGTAGAGAAAGGTAGCATTTTAATGTGTACTGCCTCAATATGATTAGATTCATGAAATATCTTAGAAACAAAGTAAAATAAGACGAAATTCTAAGAGTTTAAAGGACATGGACAGTGAAGGGTACAACATTTATACTTCTTTTCAGGTTAAATAGAACCTTATTAGCATGTGGATTCAATGTCAAGAACATCCTAAGTAATTTTGTAATGGAGTTACTGGTATAAATTGATTATTACATGTCTAATTCTCTTAGTGCTTTAACCTATCCCTTCTGAAAACGAAGATGGTATTTAGGTTTCATTTGCTACAATATTCATGCAGCAGATTTAACAGAGGTTAATTTTGAAAGAGCTTACAAGTGTGAGGTCCCATGCTTGGCATATAAAAAAGGAATAATTTTCAGAATTTCAATTCTATCCCGAGAAAAAATAGTTCTATTAACCAGAGATTCACCAAATAAATACTATAATACTTAGAACTAATCGTGTTGAGAATAAATATGTTGTCAGAAGTAGAACACGACTTACTGAATCCTGCTTGCTATTATTATAATAATTGAACATAAAGTCTAGTGTCAAAAATATTACAATTACAAAATGCTAAAAATTACGGGAAGAAAGGGAATGCCTCGATAATTGCACACTTTGTCTATATCTCCTTTTTTTTTTTTTTATAGATTTGAGTTATTACCCCATGTGCCCACTCTTTGGGAAAATTAACAGAATCAAATCTTACACATTTCTTTCACAATAAAGGGACACTCATTAAAAATAACAGGCGTGATTCCACCAAGGAGCTGCCTTGTATTTAAACTACCGACCACCGTTTTGGTTCTCCCATCCAAATTGTCTAAATCATTATTGGGGGTTATCACAAGTACCAAATCACAAGTAGAAATCAGAGAATAATTAGTAAGCTAATATGCACACACATGTCACATCAGATTGGAATTACTAAATTTTAAGATACTATAAGACATATAGAAATCAGAGAATAATTAGTAAGCTAATATGCACACACACATGTCACATCAGATTGGAATTACTAAATTTTAAGATACTATAAGACATATAGAAACAAGTCATTGTCAATGACACGTCCCCGTTCCGTTCATATTTGAGTGACATATACATTCAAAGCAGATCATGACCGAAATGCACCTGCATATGTACAACACATTGTGCTAAATCTGAACAAAATCCATCCATGCATGACTGAGATCCGGTTCTGGAATTGTGAAAATATGTGATTTTGATGCATTTTCGGCCTTAAAATGGCCATCATTCCGCTATTGTTAAGCAGATCATGAAACAAATGCACATATCTATTTGTGACATGATGTACCATGTGTGTGTGAAGTTTGAACTTGATCAATCCAGACATGTCTTGGATACGGATCCAGAACTGAATTCTTTAACAAAATGGCCGCCAGTCGGCCATTTCGAACTTGATCCGAAAAAAAAAAAAGACGTGCATCAAGGTCCTATTATGTTTAATGGTCCAAATTTGAACAAAATCCATCCATGCATAACTGAGATACGGGTCCGGAATGGTGAAAATGTGCGATTTCAATGCATTTTCGGCCTTAAAGCGGCCCCCATTTGGCTATCGTTAATGAGATCATGAAACAAATGCACATACATATTTGTGACATGATGTACCTTGTGTGTGTGAAGTTTGAACTTGATCAATCCAGACATGTCTCGGATACGGATCCAGAACTGAATTCTTTAAAACAAAATGGCCGCCAGTCGGCTATTTCGAACTTGATCCGAAAAAAAAATGACGTGCATCAAGGTCCTATTATGTTTAATGTATGTACCAAATTTGAACGAAATCCGTCCATGCATAACTGAGATCCGGGTCCGGAATGGTGAAAATGTGCGATTTTGATGCATTTTCGGCCTTAAAATGGCCGCTATTCGGCTATCGTTAATCGGATCATGAAAAAAATGCATGTGCATATGTCCCATATAATGTGTGATGTATGAGTGAAGTTTGAACTTAATCGGTCCATGCATGTTCGAGATACAGGTGATCACGGACGCACGGACGGACGGACGGACGGACGCACACAGGGCAAAACATAAGTCCCCGTTTTCGGACTGCGTCCGAACGGGGACTAATCAGTGAATAATTAGTAAGCTAATATGCACACACACGTCACATCACAGTGGAATTACTAAATTGTAAGATACTATAAGACATATAGAAATAAGAAAATAAGAAAATATCGAGATTAGTTTTGGGTTGAAATGTTTGCCTATCAATTGCATAAATTAGGCAACTAAGGCAACATATTCAATGAAAGTTGGTAGTTTGTATCAATTCATTCATGTATTATTTAATCTAATTGCAAAGGACAAGAACATGGACAAGAATGTAATAATTATGTTATGTTACTGATAGTATTATGATGAATTCAATATTTACTACAAGGCATTGTTGATCCCTACATGTGCAATCTTGAATACATCTTTGTACACTGTCTGCGACAGACAATTCAATATACCCAGTACATTGTCAGTTAGACTAATCTTAAATTTTCATTTAATTTTAAGTATTCCATATTTCTCTTTTTCCATTGACAATTAGATTAAATAAAACATGAATGAATGGATACAAACTACCAAGTTTCATTGAGTCTGTTGCCTTAGTTGTCTAATTTATGCAAAAGTGTCAACTCAAAACTCATCTTGATCTGTGCATTGTCCCATACTATCTACATACCAAGTTTTGTTAAATCTTTTTAAGTTATATCATTGATATATCAGTGAAACAGACATACACACAGACAGGATAACTGACAAGACTACCATCATATGCTTTACACATACACAGGAGTCATAAAAAAATGCGACCAGTGATTTTAAAACAATAGGCTTTTATTTAAGAAATTCCAATAAAATTCCTTAAAATACCCATTGAACATACAAAGATTTAAAAGAAAATAGCTGTACATATATAAGACATTATTTACTTGTTTTTATGATCCAGTAGTACAACATTTAAATGGATTGAAATCATATTATAAAAATGAATGTATGTATTCATGAATGTATCATAACATTTAAAATTAAAAGATTTTGTAAATATAATAGATTCAAGACACCTGTATACACCTGACAAACTTTTAACAAATTCTGCTAACAGTGTATCCTTAATTAATTAATTCCAGATTTTTTTCTTTGGCAGTTGAAGCACTATAACTGGCCCTTGACTCATCTTAGGGTTGTCAAGGTAAATAGATAATGTCCCATTGACCAGATCAAAGATAGCTGTGTGTGAGAAAAGCAAAAAAAAGAAATGGTCAATCTTAACTGCATCCCTATCAATACACTCACAATATCAGCTCTCTCCTGTTAAAAGTATTTGTATATCATTTAAAAATTGGATGTCAACAAAGCTTTCATGTATAACCTTAGAAAAAATAAAAAATAGAAAAAAGCTACCAGTTAATATTTGAGCGGCTATAATCTTCTTTCATGTTAAAATCTGTTTTTTTTTTTTTCACATACAACTGCTCCAAAAATGTTTAGCCTAGCTTAGGGTGATTTCTGTTTATATTTTCATATGGTAGCCCCATGTGCTAGATACAACTGTGACTCTTTACTTGATTGATTATTTTGTGAATGCCAGCCGCCAGTATTAATTGTACAGAATTTACGCTGGTTACTTAGATACAGCTTTTTAGACTTTATTTACTCACCTGTACTTACAGTGGCTGCACCATCTTTTTTTTTACCATTCCTGAAAATAGGGTAGTCTGGGTCTGCAGTGTCACCAAGAATATTATATATCCCTGTTAAGTCAGCAGGCACTGCTAACTTAGCTGCTCTAGCACTTCTGTGCTGTGTACTTGTATCATTAAACTGGGATATATTGAAGTGTTTGTACCTGTAATAGACAATGTACTAGGTATATTGAATTGTTCATACTTGAAACAGACACTGGGGTATAATGTGTCTATATGTGTAACAGATAATGTACTGGAATATAATGAAGTGTACATACTTGTAACAGATAATGTACTGAGGTATAATGTATTGCCTAAGCATGTAATATATAATGTACTGGGATATAATGAATTGTAACGTACAATATACTGAGGTACAACAAAGTGAACATACTTGTAACAAATAATGTACTAGGGTATAATAAAGTGTACATACTTCCATTCAGTAGACAAGTGAAGTACCGTATGCCAATATGCAAACCATCTAATTAATATGCATGTCCCAATAACTTTCGCGTCATAGTACATGTGCAACAATTTTGATTTAAAAGATGATGTATGGACAAACAGACAGACAGCACACATCGTATGCACAGAACTAAAATTAATAATTACATATTGAAATGATAGCAATGTCCATCGGCTTTATTGTTGGCCAATGGAACTGTAGCATTGCTGTACTGCTTCATTCCAGGTCCAACTTCAACGTTATACAACATCTGATCAGCAAGCGGTGTAGTGGCATCTACAAAGTTCAAACTGAAAAGACAAACACATATTAAAAACTATGTGACACAGTATTTATGGATAGATATTGATCATTTGTAACTCATTCACATTTTCCTCACCTCACAGTGCATATGGGACAAAACCAGACAATAATAAATATATTACTAAACCTAAATATTACCCATCATAAAACCAACAAGTAAACTATAACAATTGTTTTTAGTCTTCTTAAATACAATGAGGCAAATCAATAGACATAGCACAACTATTACAACCTTGTTTACTGAGAATCTAGTTATTGTAAGTAAGGATCATAATCCAGGACAGATACAAACTAATGATGCAGTTGTTGCATGGTAAGATCTTTTCTTTGCACAGCAGAAAATCAATTAAAGTAATATATCTTTACTAGATTCTACTTGAAAAATACTGGCTAAAGTTTTGGTAGGAAATGACTAAAAGTGAACAAGAATATAAAATACATAACCATTTCATGTTTCTCAATTATTACTACATATACTGTATTAATCTCAAAGTCCCTTATAGAATAATATAACATGAATTGTATATACCGGATTCTACCGTAAATTCGCCCATCCGGAAAATCGCCCTGGGCGGTTTCACGGCTGGTGGGCCCTTATTTGGGGTTCAAATATTTTTAGGAGGGCTTATATTTTCATTGAAAAATCCACCTACGCCGATTTTCAATGCCGGCAGTTGGACCACCCAAAACGAAAGAAGCTATTGCAGAAGCTAATCTAAAATTTTATACATTTTTTTCTTGCTGGATAAAAAAGTAGATCGCGCATCTTTCTAAAAAAAATCACATTAATGAACCTTGTGCGCCAAATACAATTATTTGGTTTAATTTTATAAGTAACGAAAGTATATTCTAAAAGAAGTTTCAAATGCAAACGAACCCTACTGCATTGCAAATTGTAGCAAATGATCGCTTAATTTAACATTGTTTACAGCGATAACAGCTCATTGTCGAAACGAAGCTAACCCATTCACGCTAGTCTGTAGGAGTCACAATAAACATCAATACTCTTGAATAGGCGTCAATGACTACGACGAAACTTTTAGGCATCAGAAAAGATTAAAATAACACCTTAAAAAACTGCCGAAAAATCGCCCTGGGCGGTTTCTTGGTCCCAATTTATTTTTTTAAAAACCCGAACTGCCGTTTAACGGCCCTGGGCGAATTTACGGCAGAATCCGGTAAATATATCTAAGCACAAGATGCAAAGTAGCTAGCATTTTTGGTTGGAAAAAATATTTGTTGATTTTTCTGAGGCAAAAATGATTTATATGACATAATGAAAATAACACTTATCTAATTGACAGATCTTGAAGAGCTTATTACTAACATATGGTTTTCATGATCAGCAGTATAAAGCGGTTTTTTACTTCTTACGTCCAGCAAATTTTTTATTTTAGCCAAATTTTATCAAAACTCATATCTTTAAAATGATACTGGCTAGTTACACCAAAATTGTTACCACAAAAAGAACATAACTTTGGGTGAAATTTCACCGAAATAAAACTAGGCCCATACCACAAATGAGATTTGATAAAAACTGTTTGAGTTATTGTAACCACAAGAAAACCACCAACAGCAAAGTGGACAGATATTTTCTTTTCGTTTATTACTGTAATGTACAATGATGACAAAGTACAAATGTCAACAAAAAATACTTGCTAAACAACTTATAAAATTATTTTAGGTGACATTCACCCTACTTAAATGTACTTTAAAAAGACGTTTTCTTCTAAAATTATACTTGTTGACTTCAAGAATTAAAAATGGTGTATGTACAATGTAGTTAAAATGAGATAACATACATAACAAGATACCATGTGAAGTATCTACCAGAGAAGACCTCTTCTTTTTAACAAGTTATTTTATTTATTTTCTAAAATGATTTACCTGAATCCAGAAGCTGAACCATACTTATCTAGAAAACTGAAAACATCACTGACTGACCTACAGCCTAGTAGCATTCGGTTAGCAATATAACGAGCTGTAATTAAAAAACAATTAGTTGTTATAAATACACATTTATGAATACTGTGATTCTCCATGAGAAATACCGCAAAGTATGAACAAAGGAGTTTGGTAATTATATTGTTTATCAAAGACTGACTAGCATGGTTGACGTAATTCTGTACTTGAGTGATAATATATTGTCAAAAAAACAATTTATATGGTTTGCACCACCAAGTGTTTTAATTTATATAAAGTATATAAATGAGATTGAACACATTTATCAGATGTTTATCATCACTAATCATAGTTTCATATGAGAAAGTACTCCTTGAATATTAGATTGATTCACAAACTGTTTCCACTTTGTTTTTCATGATTTAGGCATGGACCAGTGTATAGTCAAGTTTACATCCCGAGTATATAGCGAACATAAGATTTAACAAGCACTGACAATCCCATTCTGTATTTAACACCAAATTCCATCACTAGCAGTGATACAGAGTGTGGGTGATGCAATCAGTTATTTCTGGCAATGTACTGAAATTGGCTGAGCATACTAGTATTTGGTTGAATTGTGCAACCAGCATCCTGTATGTAGGATCATTGTACTTAATTCATGCAAGCCATCTCAGAGAGAATACTTATGTGCAAACTTTCAACTGAGTCAGGCAGTATATCTGCAAGGAATTAGCATGGACATGAACAAAAATAAAATGGCTAGCTGTCAAACATTTTCATTTGTTTTTTTTAAAAAAATACGACTTGCATCTGTAACACAATATACATGGTCTTGATACAAGTTCTGTGAGTTAAAGCGAGGGTTGTCACCTGTGCACATGCAGGAAGTTGAGTCCCAAGCAACGATAACAACACACGCTAAAAACGCAAAGGCTCATGGGTAAATGATTGTTTGTAAACAATGATACGCTATGCCCATCTGGCGTATGCGCAGGTGACGACTCCCCTGATGAAACACAAATTCATCCGGAATGGGAACTAAAAACAAATTTGTGCCTAGAAAAATTCACTAACACTGGGTTCAGTTATGACATGGGGCATTGTTTTAAGAAAAATTCACTAACACTGGGTTCAGTTACGACATGGGCATTGTTTTTAGAAAAATTCACTAACACTGGGTTCAGTTATTACATGGGGCATTGTTTTAAGAAAAATTCACTAACACTGGGTTCAGTTATGACATGGGGCATTGTTTTAAGAAAAATTCACTAACACTGGGTTCAGTTATGACATGGGGCATTGTTTTAAGAAAAATTCACTAACACTGGGTTCAGTTATGACATGGGGCATTGTTTTAAGAAAAATTCACTAACACTGGGTTCAGTTATGACATGGGGCATTGTTTTAAGACAAATTCACTAACACTGGGTTCAGTTATGACATGGGGCATTGTTTTAAGAAAAATTAACTAGAATTATACCTATGTTATCAGTCTCAACCTTTTTTGGAAACACAGCATTCATGGTAAACAACATTCCATCTGCATTGAATGCAAAGGCATTTCCTGGAACTGAACCTGGATATGTATATGCTGTGAACCTCTCCGTTGGATACTTTCCTGTTGGATCTATGATGTAGGCGTCTGTTATATATGCGTATTTGCCGATAATTGGATCAGTGTCTTCATTGTGAGCTTGGATAGTCTAAACAATTAAACATCAATTGAACAAAACAGACTGTTAATCTTTAAAAATCTTTGGCCTTTCTCGCCCAAATTTGTCTGCACTTTTTTAATTCAATTATTTCAACAATTTTGAAGCCAACAGACAAAATTTGAGCCAATTTTCAGTTTTTACTCTAAAAATTGGCTATTTTTGTCCCAATCTTTTGAAAGAAAGTGCAGACTATAAACATGACTATTTTGTGAATTTGTGATGAAAAGAAAGAACTGGTGATGAAAAGGTTAACATCAAATGCTATTGGAAATGGTGAAGATAACCATTGATTGTTTGTTTGTTTGTTGGTTAATTCCATTCATAGTTCAGGTATTCTAATTAAGCTGAATAAAGTCTCCAAATGATCACAGTGTGATATAACACTTTGGAAGAAAACAAAACAAAACATTGTACCCATGGAAACAAGCAGTTTTTAAATCTCTAGGTAAAGCTCATTCACTATACATGTGCATACAATTTTGAATGAAAGAAATTAATATCATTTTGGACAATTTATTCCATCAACCGTTTTCCAAACCTATATTCAGTAATGCAGTAACAGTAACTGTAATTCAGTATGATGAGATTTATTTTCAATCAATAAATGGTATTTTATTCGTCTAAAATATAATAATTTAGACAGATCTGACTTACCCATTGTCTTTGTGTCTTTTGATCAACATAGTTTAGTGCAATGTCAGTGCATTCAGGGTCAAACTGTTTTCTTAGCAGCAACTGAATTTCACTTTTGATATGCAACAAAAACACCTTGAAAACAAGCCATAAACTTCTAACATTAAAACATTAGAGCATGTCAGGTATTTTGCTACCATGTGTACACTATTGAAATCATTAGGAGCTACCTCAAATGCATGCCACACTTTCATCTAATGATAAACATCCAACGGTAAAATCTATAGTGGCATTCACGTTATAGATTTTGGCACGTGACCAAGTTGGCACGAGACGTGTGTGTGAACAGTCAGGCCGAGTCAACACATGCCGAAAAAAACACGATCTAGGTCCTGATACAATGTAGATGCTCGAGATTTTCTGCCTGAACGCTCAAACCGAAATCGTGTTCTCAGTGGTGAAATTAAGAGAACATGATGACAGAGCAGAGGCAAGGGCAGCTATAAATGGTTGAATGCTGTAGTAATGTATGAAATAAATTCAAACAGTCGTCAGCAATGCATATTCATGTACTGCAGCAACCATTTTTTTTTCTTGCAATGCTATATCAACGTGGAAATATTGATATGTTGAGAGGTGTCTGAATGTTGACATGTTGAGACGTGTGGGAATGTTGACATGTTGAGGTATGGGAATGTTGACATGTTGAGAGGTGTCTGAATGTTGACATGTTGAGAGGTGTCTGAATGTTGACATGTTGAGAGGTGTCGGAATGTTGACGTGTTGAGGTGTCGGAATGTTGACATGTTGTAAGGTGTCGAAATGTTGACATGTTGAGAGGTGTCGAAATGTTGACATGTTGAGGTGTCGGAATGTTGACATGTTGAGAGGTGTCGGAATGTTGACATGTTGAGAGGTGTCGGAATGTTGACATGTTGAGAGGTGTCTGAATGTTGACATGTTGAAAGGTGTCTGAATGTTGACATGTTGAGCATAATATTAAATTTTGATGCATTTGTTTTTTTTTAGATTTGACTCAAAATTGCTGACTGGTGGGTATTTTAACAAATGCTGTTCCAGACATACAACTATATGATAATATACATGTATTACTGTGAACCAACAGATATCAAGGGTAATGTCAAAACCAAACATTATTAGATGATGACAGACAATTTTCCTTCCATATATACAGCTAAAAAACACTTATAATTATATTGTATTAATCTGCTAATTTAAGTCAATCTATTCACCTTGTAAAATGGTAATTCAGCACCATCTGCAAGACCCTGTATCTCGTCCACAATCTGTGGAAATGTTGCATTGGCAACATTCAACAAGTCATCATACGCCTTACGTCCTTTTCGCATGTGGTAGTACGGTATCAGCACATCATTCAGAATGGAAAACTCATTACAGAAATTCTGGATTCTGTCTTTGAAACTTGCACCCTTCAGAGGAAAATTGTAAAAATTATTCTATTAAACCTGCCATATATTTTCATTGTTGATGTATGAAGTCACAGTCCCACAGAGGGACTATAATGAAGTATAGATAAAAAACAGGCACTGATATAATATTTTGCTAACATGACTTGGTGCAATATAACCCTGTAAAGTATAACACCCCTAACACACTGTGACAATAAGT